ACAGAACCGTTTTTGATCAATAACAAGTACAACAGTAGGGAGAGGTAGACACTCTTAACTCTCCCCACAAGGAATAACAACATTACAAGATAGCCCAAAACATTTGATTCCTTCCCACCCTTTGTTTGGTAAGTTCAAGGCACATCTTTTAACCTACTGCAGTCTCACTTCCATTCCTTGAATAATCCACCTAAATTTCCTTTTTTCATTAATGAAGCTCCACAAGACATCATCCTCATTCTCTAGCCAGCCTATTGCCAATTTTGAATCTCCTTCAATGATCAACCTGCACATGTTCAGTTCCTTAGTCTGTTTGCATCCTCCATAGCAGCCAAAATCTCTGCTTGAAGTGAATCCCCCACACCAATTGGGCCTGAAAACAAGGCAATAACTTTGCCATCCTAATTCGTGAGGACTCCTCCAACACCTGAAGGGCCGGGGTTTTCTTCACTGCTACCATCAAAGTTCAACTCGATGAATCCAAGAGCTGGAGGTCTCCACAGTGGAAGGGAAACAACTTTGCTAGGAGCTGAAGCTTCCACTTCCTTCCAATTATTTATCAATGCCATTGTAGAAACATCAGTAAAAGGCTCCATAGATTTCACCCACTGCACCACTCGTGTAAACCATATTCAAGCATGTAAACCCTCAATCTCTTTTTTCCTCAATTGCATTGCTTCAAATAGCTAACGTGATATAAAACATTTTGCATTCTTGATTCTATGAGCTGCCTTTGTAGCAAGCCCCTGGAGGCAAATCCAAACAAGTCTATGTTAGTCTTAAATTCTTAATCCCTATTCTAAAAAAAGGATTTTATAATTTTAATTTCCTTTTAAGAAAATATTTTATTAGGATGAATGGATGAACAACATTAGCAAATAGGGGGTTCTTGAAGCTTTGGTCAGCAAGCGAAGTGAGCAAAAAAGAACAAAAAATGCACTTTGCCTATGCACTTAGTAGCAAGCCCCCTTTTTTGATGAGTAAAAGAAATTTTGTTAATTCAGAAACTGATTTAGAATTGTAAATTCATACAGCATACCATGTAGATGCACGAACTGCAGCCTCTCTAAATAGCTCACAAGTAAACTAGCAATAAATTACATAAATCACAGGTGAGCCCAAAACAATTCTTCCCTATTTACCCCTCGTGCCTGTTCGTTTCCTCTTAACTCTTATCTCTTAAGAGGAATTCTTTTAACTTTAAGAGAAAAATGGCTGTTCATTTCCTCTTATCTCTTATCTCTTAAAGTGCAATCATACAATTTTTTGTTTTCCAATGGTACTCCCCAAAAGACACACAAAAACTCTAATATATGGGGTCAAACTAGATATTTGATAATTTTCAGAATTCAGAATTCAGAGTTCAGAACAACATTTTCTGTATTCAGAGTTCAGTGGAAAGAAAAGTTCACCAATACCAATATACCTCTTAATGTAATTATTGCGCTTTCAGATATCAGACTTCAGAGCAAACGAACAGGCCCTTATGGCTAACACATTAGCCAAAGCATTTGTTGGTCTCCCCACCCACTGTATGGAAACCGACATATTCCTTGTCAGCCATTAAATTTCTTAGTTTCATTCTTGTAGCACCATATAGTATCCTCGGGTTTTTCAGCTGGCCCACCACCACCTTGGGATCCCCTTCAATGATTAAACACTCTACCCCCAATTGGTTTGCAAATTGCACCCCTTGTACAACAGCTAATAGCTCTTCCCTAACAGAATCTCCAACTTTTATTGGTCTGAGTAGAGCAGTACCACCTGTCCAATCTCATTCCTCAGAACATCCCCCATTCTGATAACCCTGGATTGCCCAAGTTACTTCCATCAAAGTTATGCTTCAATGGGCCTTCAGGCGGAAAGGGACCACCTTGTAACTATCTTATTCTATGGAAGAACACCTCACTACTGCTGTCCAGTTTCTCCAAAGGTCATCATATGAGAATTTATGAAAAATTTCCAAAGTCTTCAGCCATGGTATTTGCCCTATTCAACACATAGTTCTTTAGTTTCTGCCTACTCCCTTTCCTTCCTTGAAATATTCTAGCATTCCTCAAGGGTCTTAGTAGCAAGCCCCTTGAGGCAAGCCCAAACAAGTCCATGTTAGTGTCTTAAATTCTTAATCCCTACATGAAAAATATAATAATTTTAATTTCCTTTTAAGAAGATATTTTATTAGGATGAATGAATGAACAACATTAGCAAATAGGGGGTTCTTGAAGCTTTGATGAGCGAGTGAAGTGGGCAAAAAAGAACAAAAAATGTACCTCACCTGTGCACTTAGATGCGCTTTAAACCACTGGGGATTCTACAAATACAATCGAGTGGCTGGAGAGAAAGATGGCAGACATTGGAGGCTGGCTCATTACCTGATTGAGGCTAGAGACATCTTAGCTCTAAGGATAGCAAATCTGTTGTGGATTCCTAGGGAAGTGAATGTAATAGCAGAATTGCAGATAGCCTTACAGAATCTTCTGCTCATTTAAACCATTTGTATAGTGATCAGCACCTACCAGTGTAATTTCTGAGGCAGTTTCTCTGTTCTTTATTTCTTCTGTACATTTCCTCATGTACTCGTTTTTTTTTCTTTTGTTCTTAGAAGGCAATTAAAATTATAAAATCCTTCTTTTTTTGTATAGGGATTAAGAATTTAAGACACTTACATGGAATTGTTTGGTTTTGCCTCAAGGGGCTTGGTTGGGGTTCTGGGGCAGACGGGCAGTGCCCCTGGCCCAGTCACTAGGTTCAAAAAAAGTGCAAACAATAAAAAGTCGCATGCCTGGGCTGAAGCGCAAGGCACACCAGGCGACACCTGGGTGCACTAGGTGTGTGCCTTTTGAAAGTGCTGCACTTGGGGCCTAGGTGAGGCGTATACTTTATGCACCTTGCTTGTGCGCCTAGGCATGCCTTTTAAATCACTGGTCAGACATCTGTCAAGTGCTACTGACCACATCAAAAAAGCCACCTTGTATGGTATATGAGCGCCAGACTTCCTTTTTATGGGAAATTTATATTTTTTTTTGATGAATTTTATGGGAAATTTATATTTGAACTATCAGTTAGCTTCACACACAAAGATTTGTAGAGAATATATCTGACCCGATCTGGATGTGGGGCAGTTCTATTTATAAGACTGCAATCTATAGTTTTCAAGGTGCCAAGATGAACCTAGGCGACAAGGGAGCGCCTAGTTGCCTAGGTGCCCCACCTAGACATCACTTAGTGTCTAAAAAGGATAGAAAAACAAGGGGCTGATCCCCTGTTTCTCTTGTAGGAAAAGAAGTAAAACGGCCAAAAGTAACATGGAAAATATGGGGTGAAGCCCCTATTCTTGTCTTTCAAAAATGAAACCACAAAAGGGAAGACTCAAAAATGGTGAAGGGGTGGAGCTCCTGTTTTAGTTCTAGAAATAGGAGAAAGAAGAAGGGAGGACCCCCTGTTTTAGTTGCAGAAATAGGAAGAATAAGAAGGGCTGGAGCCCTTGTTTTTGTTCCAAAAGAAGAAAAAGAAGGGCTGGAGCCCCTGTTTTTGTTCCAGAAAAAGGAAGAAGGGGCGGGGCCCCTGTTTTTTTTCCAGAAGAAAAATACCTTCTGCGCATAGTTTTCAAGGCGTCTAGGCAATTCTGGGCGACACTGGGGCGCCTAGGCGACAAAAATTTTATAATATAAAAAACTGACTTTTGGCTAGTTTCCTAGTTTCATATACCATTCAGCATGTATGTTAATTGGAAAAATAGCAATTCTCAGCAATGTGAGGAGGAAATTTAAGTGGCTGGTGCAAGAGATGGAAGTTAAGATTAGTTGGGTTAAAAGATCGGCTAATTCTTTTGCTGATGGATTAGCTAAACAAGGGGTGGAGAGGGAATCAATGTTTTGGGCTCAGATGTAATTTTATTGCTTCTCTTTTTTTTTTTCTTTTCTTTTCTTGAGGGCTCATGTTGTAATTGGAAGAGAAGAAAGTTTGTCTTCCTCTTTGTAATTATTCTTATGCTGAATTAATGAATTTGTTATTGATAAAAAAAAGCAATTCTCTTTATTAAGAACATTAAATTTCCTCTAGATACGTGGCTAATGATCACATCTAAAAGATAAAAATCTTTTACATATATTAATTTCATTATTTTCAAAAATAATACTACTATAATATGTATTTAATAGAGCAAATTCATATTAATTAGCAGCTAAAGAAGGTTATTAACTTTATATGATAATCATTCAAGATGGAAAGTAAAATAGAAAAAAAAACAAGGATGGAGTTTCTGTTTTATTTAATTAGAGAGAGAGAACAGAAAAAAAGAACTTTATTATTCTATTCTTTCTTTCCTCTTTCTTTCTTTCTTTTTCTCTTCTCAAAATCCTTTGATCTTTTAAATTTCAATAGTAAAACATTAAAACAAAGTATAATCGATATATATAGAGCATATAATAAAATGTATTAACACATACATTAATAAGATACAGCAATATAAATGATACTATAAAAGGCGCCCGCCTTGTCATTTTTGTCACCTAGGCGGGTGCCTAGTTGCCTAGAAGGACACCTAGTTGCTAAAAGTCAAGGTGTTTGGGCGAGGTGCCCAGCCAAAGCCGCCTAGTCACCTAGGCGATTGGTTGGTGTTCCTTGCTTAAGACTTCGAACTCTGTATCACTCAAACCCTGTTAGTCTTCTTCGGTTCTCAACTTTTGAATATCTCACTCAGAACCCTAATAAAATAAGCAGCTTGAAATAAAAGATGTTATTTTGTGAACAAAATAATAGAATGATACAGTGCATCATGCCTATATTAATATTATATACTAAAGTATAAAAACACATGAAAACATTATAAACTTTGTATAAGTGGTATATAAGCCACTTGGTGTTTGGTCGAGGCGAGCCCTAAAAAGTGACTAGACACCTAGGCGTCACCTTGACAACTATGCTGTAATCTATTACTATATGTTATTGTTGTAATTGATCTGCATTATGATTTCATATTTCACTTGCCCCGATTTCAGCATTTGTTACAATACGAACAATTGGGAGTTGATCTCAAAGTACTCAAAAAAGTTTATCAAGGCTGGGGTGAAACTGCGCCGAACCACGTTTGACACTTGGATGGAATTTGCTGCCAAAAGAGGTTCTCTATAACATCTCTCTTTTTACCTATTCGTATTTAAAGGAAAGAAATCTTTTTTTTTTTTTTTTTGATAAGTTAAAGGAAAGGAAAGGAATCATTGAAACAAACTCCTAATAGAAATACTGATTTAACATTTCATTGTGCACGGAACAGTATATTTTGTTGTTATTTATTGTATTATGTAACCTGCAGTCAATCTTAAGTGCAACGGAACAAGAATAAAATAAACAAGAAAAGAAAAGAGAAGAGAAGAAAAAATAGGAGAGGAGAAGAGAACAGAGAGAACGATGGGGCTCAGAGTCAGTTTCCTTATCTATGCTCAGGTTGTATCTATAAAAGGAAACTGTCTACAAGTCTAATGACCAGAATACCCCTACTTAAGTAATCTGTAGTAAATGGACAAAACTACCCTTTATTCTTTATACATTTATATTTCTAAGACTCCAAATCATTCTGGAGCGTAGATATCATATAACTCCATCTTGTTACATATGTAATCCATTCTGACTTAAGCTCTTAGTAAACAGGTTGGCCAACTGGTCTTTGAACTTGACAAAAGGAGTGGATATATCACCAATAGATAGAATGGATTTTATTAATCAAAGTAGTATCTAGTACAAGCATCCCTAGGACAGGTGCGAGATGTGACCTCTCCTCTCATAAATATAGCAATATCAGCTTACAAATGAGCCCAATACAACATATCCCTATTCACCCCTTGCTTGGCTAGAATATCCAAAAAAAACATTAGCAGTCCTCTCCTAATACACTCAGAGTTGTATTTCTTGTTAGGCATTTGAATTTCCTATTCCATTGCTGTAACTGCAAATAACAGATTCTGGATCTTTCAACCGCCCCACTTTGATCATAGAGTCACCTTTGATCTTTCAACCACTCCACTTCAATATGCTTTTCTCATAAAACACAGGATTGGATGCAGTATGTGCAGCAGGCATAGTTGTCAAGGCAATGCCTAGGCGACTAGGTGCCCTTGGAGGCTTGCCTCGCTTAACCGCCAAGCAGTTTTGTACATTGTGTTATAAAATACTTTTATATTCTTAATTTCTTGAGATTATAATTATAAAGTAGACATTATTAAACTAAAATATTCATTTTGTGTTCTTATGTACTAATTTTTTTTTATTATTTTCTTATTTGTTAGGGTTTAATCAACACAAGCATTGCTAAATGCTGTATTTTTCTTCTTATACTTTTACTATAACAAAATAGGGGTTCAGCCCCCTTATTTTTTGAATTTTCTTTTCTTTTTTCTTTTTCTTATGATTATGTTGATTTTCTATACTTTAACATGAATTTTGTACTTATGAAAATTATGGATAATTATTAAGGGCATATGGTTATGGAACCTAGGGAACTACCCTAGGATATATATTTTTTTACTTAAAAAAATGCATCGCCTAGGCAACAAGGCGCTCCCTTGTCGCCTAGCCTCGCCTTGGTGCCTTGAAAACTATGGCAGCAGCCTGATTATCAAATGATTATTAATAGGTACAATAATTGGTACCCCAATCTCACAAAGAAGATGCTTTAGCCATATTATCTCACAAGTAGTATGTTTCATGGCTCTGTATTCTTCTTTGTATTAGTCCTTGCTACACATTATATTTCTGGCTTTTCCAAGTGACAAGGTTTTCCAAGGAATGTGCAATATCTTGTGATAAATCTTCTATCAAGTGGTGGTCCAGCCCATTTGCATCTGTTTATCCTTCAAACTACAAGCTACTCTTCTTCTTATATAATGATCTGCATCATGGAGCAACTTTTAAATAGCACAAAATTCTGAACTGCCTCAACTAACATCACATTCAATTGCTGATCGGTACTTTTAGATTCTCTTTCCAGATGACCTCATCAAACTGAAAGAAAGAAGAGAAAATGAAGGGAAAATGCTGCTTGGTTCTTATTCCAAGGTTTATATAAGGAAGAAAGCTTATTGAACAAGACTTGGCAGGTGAAGGAGTTGGAAAAATCTAGGACCAGTCTCTTACAAGAAAACGGACAGTTGATGAAAAGAATACATTTGTAACAGTTATGGAGGGAAGGTTCGTGGAGGCAGGTCGTTGGAGAACAAATCTGAAGGTTGAAGCTAAGGACTTCCTGTTTGAGAAAGCGGAAGTTAGAGGAAAGCTGAGCTTGAAGATAAGGGTAGGAAGGAGGGCTACGGTTGTGTTGAGTGGGTTAGAAGCTGTAGAATGGCTTCAGATCTTTGTGGAAGGAACGAGTTCAAAAGGCTAACAAATTAACTGGCAAGAGTTTGGAACTGAAGAAGGTAAGAAATATGTAGTTGAAAGTAAGAATGCCAAGGAAGGAATCTTATTCAGCTTTGGTTGAGTTTTTTGGTAGAGGAAAGGAATAGTTTGCGTGCTTCCCAGAAGGAAGACATGGTCAAGGCTGGAGGGATATTAGCAGTTTGCCTAAGGAGTTAGTGAACCTTGGAGTGACAGCTACAATGAAGAGTCCAACAAGGGAGGAAGGGGTTAATCAGAGGTTTAGTATGTCTATAACCCTAGAACAGGAGCCCATGGTCTTGGTGAAGTCTAATGGATAGTGTAGGTTGATGGGTCTTTTGCAGAAGGAAGAGTGGGATAGCAAGTTTTTAATTCAGGCAGAGGAACATATTACCGATAGGAGGGTAGTTGCCTAGTTGCCTTAGTTGCCTAGGCGATGGATTTTTTTAAGTAAAACCATATATCCTAGGGTAGTTCCCTAGGTTCCATAACCATCTTTCCTTAATAATTATCCATAATTTTCATAAGAGAA